CGATGCTTTATTAGACTCGGGTGCATCCGCTTGCTTTATAGATGAAGAGTTTGCCAAGCTTCACAATATTTCTCTTGTAAAGAAACTTAAGCCTGTCCATGTAGAAGTCATAGACGGACGACCATTGTCTTCGGGCAATGTTATCCATGAAACTAAACCATTGAAGGTACATCTTGAAAACCATGAGAGCAATATTGTGTTTAATGTTATCAAGACCCCTTCATGTCCTATCATTTTGGGACTATCTTGGCTTGATAGATATAATCCATTGATAGATTGGAAGTTGCGGAAAGTGACATTTCCAACAAACTCCTTGAAGGTGGAATCTGCCAAGACAATGTCTAGAAACAAATCCTTGTTTATAGGTGCAAGGGCTTTCATGAAGGAAGCCAAGCAAAATACACCTCTTGTCATCTTCGCAACTCCGACTCGAGAAGATGCAACTCCAACTTTGGTTATTCCAAAGCAGTATGAAGAATTCAAAGATGTCTTTGAAAAGAAGAATGCTGATATGCTGCTAGAGCATCGACCCTATGACTGTGCCATTGAATTGCAAGAAAGAGCACAACCACCTTTTGGACCAATCTACAATTTGTCGCAGATGGAGTTGACTGAGTTGCGGAAGTACATTGACGAGAATCTAGCCAAGAACTTCATCAGTCATTCGAAGTCGCCAGTTGGGGCACCAATCTTATTTGTGAAGAAGAAGGATGGCTCACTACGGATGTGCGTGGACTATCGAGGTCTCAACAAGGTGACAAAAAAGAATCGCTACCCACTGCCTTTGATCTCTAGTCTTCTAGAACAACTTGGGCGTGCAAGGATCTTTACAAAGATTGACCTAAGGGGAGCTTACAACCTTGTGCGAATCAAGGAAGGAGATGAATGGAAGACAGCGTACCAAACAAGGTATGGCCATTTTGAATACAATGTTATGCCATTTGGTCTTACTAATGCTCCAGCGGTCTTTCAACACATGATGAATGACATCTTTCGAGAGCATCTAGACGATTTTGTTGTCATCTATCTAGATGATATTTTGATATTTTCTAAGAACGAGGAAGAACATGAGAAGCACGTTCGTCTGGTACTCAAAAAACTAGGGGAGCGAGGACTCTATGCCAAATTGGAGAAGTGCTTATTTCACCAAACTGAGATGGAGTTTTTGGGATTCATCGCGACTACGGAAGGCTTGAAGATGGATCCAAAGAAGGTGGAAGCAATCATGTCTTGGGAAGTTCCGAAGACGGTTAGGGACGTACAATGTTTTCTTGGATTTGCTAACTACTATCGGATCTTCATCAAGAATTATTCTCAAGTTGCTGCCCCCCTCACTCGGTTAACGTGTAAGGACAAGCTCGAATGGGGACCTATCGCAGAAAAAGCATTTCAAGATTTGAAGATGGTATTTACTACAGCTCCAATCTTGGTACATCCGGACTTTACAAAGGCCTTTTATTTGGAGACAGATGCTTCGGATTTTGCTTTGGGAGTTGTACTTTCACAAATGGGCATAGATGAGAAGCTCCATCTAGTTGCGTTCTATTCTCGAAAATTCTCTGCTGTTGAGATCAACTATGAGATCCACGATAAGGAACTCCTTGCTATAGTAGATTCTTTTCAAGAATGGCGCCACTTTCTCGAAGGAACTGCACATCCAGTGACCGTATATACGGATCACAAGAATTTGGAGTATTTTATGTCGGCTCGGGTTTTGAATCGGCGTCAAGCTCGATGGAGTATGTCGCTATCCAGGTTCAACTTTGTTATTTCTTATCGGCCTGGGAAGCAACAAGGGTTGTCCGATGCATTATCAAGGAGATCATATCTCGCGCCAAAGGTTGAAGATGCAGCATTTGATCAACAGTGCACGACATTGTTGAAGCCAGAGAAATTTCGGCTCAACGCAACTATTGTACCAATTGATGCTGACTTCCTCGACCAGGTACGGGCCGCAACCATTGAAGATTCTCTAGCCCTTGATATCAAGCAACATGCTAGTGATGATAAATTCAAGATGGAAGGAGATCTAGTATATTTCGAAGAGCGGTTGTATATCCCAAAAGGGCCAACACGACTCCGAGTTCTTCAATCTCGTCATGACTTTCCAGCTGCGGGACATTTTGGATTCAATAAGACCTTGGAACTTATTTCTCGCGATTTCTGGTGGCCTCAAATGTGGAAGGATGTGAAAGATTTTGTTGTATCTTGTGACATTTGTTCAAGATCCAAAAACCCTCGACATCGGCCTTATGGACTTCTACAGCCATTGCTTATTCCGCGCCGACCATGGTCTTCGGTTTCCATGGACTTTATTACAGATCTACCACCATCGAATTCATTTGATAGCATTTTTGTTGTCGTAGACCGGCTTACAAAGATGGCACATTTTGTCCCTTGCAAGAAGACATCGTCAAGCGAAGACACAGCAAGACTCTTTCTTGATAATGTGTATCGATATCATGGTCTACCAGATGATATCGTATCGGATCAAGGAACCCAGTTTTTGTCAAAGTTTTGGAAATCTCTTTTTGAAATATTGAAGGTGGATATCAAGCTTTCTTCGGCATTTCATCCTCAAACGGACGGCCAAACAGAACGGGTGAATCAAATTTTAGAGCAATATTTACGTTGCACCATCAACTATCAACAAGATGATTGGGCCGCATATCTATCGCTAGCCGAGTTCGCATATAACAACACCCTTCATGCGTCAACTCAACAAACGCCATTCTTTTCCAATTATGGATACCATCCGAAGCTTGACTTATGGAGTTCGTCAACAATTAACAATCCGGCAGCTGAAGGATTGGTGAAGGAGCTTTCGCAGCTTCAAACTACATTGAAGCTTCAATTGTAAATTGCCCAAGAATCTTACAAGGCGTCCGCGGACAAATTTCGGAATCAGGCACCTAAATTCACGATTGGAGACAAAGTTTGGCTGCTTCGACGAAATATTAAGACCAAGCGGCCATGTGACAAATTGGACTATCGGAGATTGGGACCATTTGTTATCCAGAAGCAGATCAATCCTATAGCGTATCGTCTGGAGTTACCAGCTACTATAAAGGTACATCCTGTCTTTCATGTTTCTTTGTTGGAGCCTTATCGAGAATCGTCTTTTCCTAGAAGAGTACAATGTCCACCACCTAGCATAGAAATAGAGAACCACAATGAATACGAGGTGGAAAAGGTCCTGGATTCACGGCAAAGACGAGGTAAATTAGAATACTTTGTGCATTGGAGCGGTTACGATATTAATGAACGAACATGGGAGCCGGCCGAAAATCTCGCGAATGCGCTGCAAAAGGTACAGGAGTTTCATCGACGATATCCTGAGAAACCCAAGCCGGTTCGACGATAGCTTCTTACTGAAGCTTGCTCATCTAGAAAACAGAAAAGAGGAGAGAGCACCACCAAAATCCATAGTTAATGTAGTCATTCTCTCCAAGATAGCGTAGAACTTTGTTAGTAGCCCAAGTTTGTTCTTATTGTTTTAGCCTTTGAATATGGATAGCCAAGATACTACACTTGTCATGTCATCTCAAGCAACTAGCTCACGAAGACGATCGCGAGATGAAGAACCGCTTGCACCACGACGACGTCGAAGGATTCCGAGCAACAAATCGCTGGTGATTGTATTTGAGGTCGAGCCTGCCTACAATGGTCAGCCAGAAGGAGTGTTTGCAGGACAATTTCACAATGAAGACACGGAGGTTCATGCTTGGTCAGAAGTTGAAGGCGTGGGTCACTACCGTTGGCTTCAAGGACCATTGAATCACTTGCCTCGTGAACAACAATTGGAGTTTATAGCAGAGGTTATGCGACAGATCTTCATTTTCTTGCGTTGGTATTGACTGACGATAACATTGCTTCTCGGAGACCTCGAAGCTAAAGGAGGAGGTGATGTTAGGGACATAGTCCTTAGACCTTTCTAGAGACAAGTTTCTAGAACCTTCTAGAAAGAAGTCTCTAGAAACTTCCAAAAGATTCCTTGAATATTCTCTAAAGATTCCCTAAAGATTCTTTGAAGATTCCCTAAAGATTCCCTTAGAAGGTTCTAGAAGATTCTTAGAATATTCTAGTAGATTCTAGGAAGTTACTTGAGAAGCTTCCTAGCTCTTGGGTAGTTGCTCGAGAAGCTTCATAGTTCTTGGGAAGCTTCTTGATGCGCTTCTTTAGAACCATAGGCCAGTAGTATATATAGGAGTCGAGGCTGAAGAGTTCTTCAGTCTCGACAACACATCTCTTGAAGCTCTAGCTCAATTCTCTTGGCGTTGCTCTTGTACTCATCTGATAATCTAGTTCTTGTCATTTCTTCTTGAACTTCTTGTTTAGATTTCTTGTTTGTATTTTTGGTCCGTGACAGCAATAGCCATTCCAATTTCAATACTTTATTAGCTTTGAGTGAATATCTGTTCTTTTTTAGTTAAAAAAGATTGTATTGAGTTTTTGGTTCTTCAAGATTCATGTCATTGACACTAAAAAGTATATAAGTATATCTAAATTGCACTAGTAATTATATAATTGGACTATTTAATGTGATTGTTTTAAATGCAATACTAATTCTGTTTATATCATATCATGTCCTTGATAACTTTTATTACAAATTAATCCAATATTACTAATGATTGTTACAATTTTATTTATTCTTTTATCATTATTGTCACTAAATAATAAATCTACAAAACTTTTATTGAACTTGATCCTTCAATGGACACAATGGGAACTATAAAAGAGGAACATTACCAATTGGGAGAACCAAGTTCCAAGAAGTGTATTCATTTACGTTGGCAAGGTTTCCGAAGGAAAAGAAAAGGACCACATGAACCAATGCTCCCAAAGGAGGAGGGGCACTACGAGAAAGAAAGAAGTGGTAGCGGAACTTTCAGACCAAGCTTCGCCTGCCGGGAGGGGAGGGTGGGAGGCTGCGTTGATGATGCTACCCCTAACAGGGATGGGCTTTATAGAAAACGATAAGAGGGAGACAGTATCAACAAAATACTGTCTCACCCCATGGCCATGGTGCCCAAACACAACACAATGATATTTAGTATTTAGCCCCCCAGGGCAGGGTCTCTCAATTCTGGGTAGGGGCTGGCTGCGTTCGCAGCGATCTGTTGCACCTCCCCTTCTCTCCTTGTTCCTTTCTTTATTTGTGCCTGTCTCGTCTCACTCACTCGTTTCTCATATCCGCCCCTTGCTTGGCCTTAGCGCTGCTTTGGCTTGGCCTTGGCTTGGACTGGCGCTGGCGCTTCTGTGACTGTATTTGGGAATTCTGCAACAGGACCCGTGAGATGCCGTGGCGTCTCTACCTGCTCCTTCCTGCTTCTGTGGTGGCTTCTTCTTCTCTCCCTCACCTCCCCCTTTGCCACCCGGTACCTGATGTTTTTCGGGGCTAATTCTATTTGTCTCACGTGTGGAGCATGCAAATTCCCCGTGAGCTTGGCTTCCATGGACAGGTATGTGTGTGTGCGTGTGTGTGTGTGTGAGTGTTTTTTTTTTTTTTTTTTTTTTTTTTCATTATACTAGTTTGATGGCTTCCGTCAGGGAGCTTGGGTGGGGGAGGAATCTGTGAAAGCTAGCGTTTTGTGAGCTGGGTGGAATGTCTTTTCAGCTCGGGGCATGGACGCATTTACACGGGCTTGGGTTTTCAGGGTTGGTTTGATGTACAGGAATGGTTGTGTGCGGGTTGCTTTGGGCAATTGAGCGGCCTTTGGTTGGTCTGCGATGAGTAGAGCACTCGGATGAGACATAGTAGTTGGATTGGGAGATTGAGGGAAGTAGGAAAGGGCAGCGTCCTTTGTATTAAGGAATGATGGTAATGGGCAGTCAGTCTTCTATGATCGGAGAGAGACTAGCGTGATGCAGCCATGAGTCATTGATTAACCTTCTTTAGGGTTCAACAATGTGTGGCAGATACGCTTTGTTTACATTTTGAAGGGTACAGATGCAGTTGTAGATCAGTTGTTTTACAACAGCTCACCGCTGTTTGATGATATTCACCGCATGCAGCATAGTTTGGGTTGCGGTGTTTGCTACTTGGGCACTTTTTCCATATGAAGCATGAAGCAGCTGATTGCTATCGACTGACGTTGTGTGTGTTAGGATAGTGGTTAGACTTAAGACTTGAGCGATCCTAGCAGCCATTGTGTCATAAATTTTTGTGGTTATTTTCCTGTCACGGCATCAAGTGCGTATGTGATTTGGACGGAGGTTTGGTTTTACATACAGGGAATAAGTATCTGATCGTTATCCGCAGCCGTTCAGTACTTGGAGTGTATATGGAATTCCTCTGTTGATTCTCCTACACTGTCTTGGAGTTCTTCTGTCCACAGAAACTGTGATGTCCTGATGTTAGATTCGTCATATTCGTATCGGTCCGTATCTCGACTGGGGTTTTGATACAGGATGCATGCTTCATAAGTTTAGAGTTCTAGTGGGGCTTCTTCAGTTGATTTCATTGAAAGTGTGCTTTAGAATACTGTTCTGATTGGGGTCTGGTCGTTTGTGTGTTGCAGGTTGAAAATGGTTGCATAGGATGATTGTCGTTAAGTGAATTACCATTTTACTTGATGCTGCTCTCGAATAGAGCTCACGCAGGTCGCGGAGTGTAATTTGTGCGAAATGAATGCTGCTCAGTTCCGACTTTATGTTTTGGTCTTGCCTTGAGGATACACGTGTTAGATCTGAGTTTTGCACATGTCTGGCCCTTGGAAAGTGATATTACGGTTCTGCATACGAGCACTAGGACGTCGGAACTTAACATTCATTACTACGGCGAAGCTGCCGTGGAGAATCAGTGCAGTCACTGATTCAATTGATTGGATAGCAATATGGGACTTAAGGCTGCCAATGACCTTGAACTGTAGAGTTCTTCGCAGTGAGAGGCAGAAGCAGCGGCGTGTGCAAAAGCGCAGCATGATCCATGGATAGGTGCGAGTGTCCAAGTGGAGACGGGTCGGTGTCAGTACCCACTAAAGGGTCGGAGCTTACAAAAGGGTCAGCTGGACAGTTTGTTGAAGGCAATGAGGGCAGTGCTCACTTTGTGGAGTGGCCAACTTCTCAGTTGCAAAATGGTCCGGTGGAGCTAAGGGCTATCCATTTTTGTACCTTACAAAAGCAAATGTCATGTTCATCCAAGTGGCCTCACGGTTACCAAGCAGCCACTCTGCTGGACCTAATGACAATTCGAGCGTTTCACAGCAAAAGCTTGCGATGCTACAGTTTGGGGTCTGCGTTGGGGTTTCGCATCCGTGGGGGTGTGCAGACAGATATACCAGCCATTATTGTCTTTGTCGCTCGCAAGGTTCATAGGCACTGGCTGTACGAGGCTCAGGAACTTCCCTTGATCCTTGAAGGTCCGGGTGGGATATGGTGTGATGTGGACGTGGTCGAGTTCTCACTTTTGGGGCCGCAACCGCCACTAGAGCCAGTGCACACGGAGCTTGTGGAGGGCCTTCAAGGTCGCGACGCAACTATTGGATCAGGCTCTCAAGTTGCATGCTACGAGCTTTACGGTACGCTTGGTGCAATCGTTCGAAGCCGGACTGGTCTCTGTCAGGTTGGATTCCTAACAAATCGACACGTCGCCGTGAGCCTTGACCATCCGGTTCAAAAGTTGTTCTATCCTCTTCCACCTCATCTCGGGCCAGGAGTGTACCTGGGTGCTGTGGAACGTACTACAACCTTCATACGAGATGATCTATGGTATGGCGTGTTTGCAAGTATGAATCCCGAATCATTTGCGCGAGCCGACGGAGCTTTTATTCCATTTGATAACAATCTAGATGTGAGGAACTTCGTGAGTCCATCTGTAAGGGGTGTGGGCGAGATCGGTGAGGTGATGTCTGTGGACTTGCATGCCCCACTGAATAGCCTGATTGGTAAGCATGTGATCAAAGTCGGCCGCAGCTCAGGTGTCACTAAAGGCTGCATCTTTGCATATGCAGTAGAATACAACAGCGATATAGGGCACTGTTTTTTCAATGATTTCCTCATTGTGAGCGATGATGGTCAGGCATTTGAGTCTGAAGGCGATAGTGGAAGCTTGATTTTGGTAACAGGAGAGGCTGAAGGGAAGCCACGACCGATTGGAATGGTTTGGGGTGGCACCACTCACCAGGGTCGTTTAAAATTTCAGAGCTGGAAGGAGCCAGAGAAATGGACAAGTGGGGTTGATCTGAGTCGCCTCCTGGACTCTCTTGAGCTCAGCATCGTCTCATCGAATGAGGCCCTTTGTGAGGCACTTGAAATGCAGCGTCAATGTCTGGCTGCTTCACTTCATCAACCACCCTCGTGTTTGACCATCCGCTCCCCTCTGAGCACAATGTTACATGTCAAACATGCACTTAAAATGGACAGAGGATTTCTGAAGTTCGATTTTCATGACGCAGTAAAGGACACGGTGCCCTCAGAAACGTTGAAGGATTTGCTTTCTACAGCTACTTTTGAAACAAGTGCGACGCAGGCAGATGCAAACGAACATCCTATGCTATCTACCTCAAAGGATGCATTTGATCCCAGCAGCCGGCAAATCCAGTCCGTGCGGAAAAGTGGAACAAATTCATTACATTTTAACACTTACGACCCTTTTGAGCTTTCACTCTCAAGTCCGTTGTCTGGGATTGAACAATGCAGCAATCACTCGGAATGGCCTCAAAGGATGATCAAAGCTTGTCAATTGTGTTTTCAACATAGAGCGAAAAGGACTCGTCAATTGGCCGATTCCGGATTTCTCGAACCCAATTCATGACGAGTGGACTAGTGGATGGTTTTGATGATGTACTTTCAAAGAGATTTGCAGGCCGGTGTTCATCTGCAGGGTTTGAGTTACGCCAATACTTCATGAAGGGTGCTGTTCCTTTATCTTAGACGTCAGTTGCAGATTTATTGGTTTAAATCATTCCCCAGTTCGATATTGGTGCAGCGCTTGTGATTCATCTCTCTCAACTCAAGAGGAGTACTTGCTATTCTCTGGACAAGAAGCTTTTGTGACCAGTAACTGTAGTTTAGAACACCTCAGCCTGAGGTTAACTGCGCTTCAAACGAAGCACTGAATACACGACGTTACGCTGTTGCTGATTTTATGATGTTTCCTGCGACGGGGAGTAGTCCGGTTCAACGATAGGTACTTAACGAAGACATTTGCTCATTGAACGGATTGGCATCGTATCAGAGTTGCTGAGGTTTTTGTTCTAGTGGCACCCTCTGTTTCTTAATGTGCTCATCGTAATACTGGTTGTTCATTTCGAGCTGAAAGCTGAAAGATCTGCTTTTCTTCATCTATCCAGTGGCTCTAACCTTTCTGATAGCAAGTTACTGGAGTGCCTTGTTAAGAGCCTTATGCGACGTCCAAAACTGGACATTTTGAATGTGTCGAGGGATATCTACTTTTTTTAGAATGTATAATGGCGGAAAGAGTGGGGGCTTTTTCCAGCTCTGTCGAGTGTTGATTAAATGCTTGATACAAATTGGGGATCTGTCCAATTGTAGTCTATGAGGAGATTGCAGGAGCTGTAAGTGGCAGATGGTTTTTTTTGTTATGTCCATGTTATAGTATATCCTACGGTAGCTTTGGTGGGTGCAAATTTATGGTATGGGGGACTGCTGAGGCCATGACAATAGTCTATTGGGCTGAATTGCCAATCGAGCCATTATGTTCCATATTTTCATGTAGTTCATGATTACTGGTATTGGACGCTTTCACATTGTTGACGGTGAACAAAGGATTTGAGAATATACTATGATAATTTCTTGAGACGTCGGTGTAAACTTACTTATTGATTTTGTACTTTATTTGTCTATATAGACAACATTCATATCACTGTTCTTTCCAGTGTTATGTCGACAACCATTTTATCGTGTTTCTCAACGTATTCAAGACTTATCAGTACAAAGAACAGTAATGTAGAACAGGTTGAAACAGACTACAAAAAACCTTCAAGCAACATTTTTTTAAGAAAAGGATCTTTTATACTAACAAATGTAAGTGTGTATGATTACAACTTGAGAATGGAATAGCTATTATAAATGACCTTCCAATTTTGTAAGTTCTATGATTATATGTGAGATCAGAAGACATGACAAAGAAAAATAACAAATATAGTGATGAACAAATAATAGAAAATTGCAAAGACCTTCAAAATAAAGACTTTCATGAGAAGGTTGGATGCTTGTTTTCTCCAAAACTCTTTGTCTGTAAATTCTTGAAAGCATTTGTTGTTATTTTCGTTTTTACTTGCGATGGTTTACAATATAATAAAATGGAAAGTATTATATTTTAAATTTTAGTAAGTAATGTAATTATTTTCTAATTTGTGGGAGGGATTTAAATAATGCACACAATGACAATCTCAATTAGCCAAATTAACACAAGAATTGATTAAGGCAAAAATACTAGAAAAAATGTCTTTATTTAAAAACGATTAAAATAGACAAGATGATTTATTTTTATTTTCAGTTTTGCACATTGTAGTATAAATGAAATTTCTACTTTTTAGTGATAAGATAGAAGTATTGATCCAAGGAAAATATAGAATTTGAATGTAGAAGCTAAAATTAGTTCAAATTAAGTATTTTTCAAAATTCTATTTAGAAAATTATTTGATGAGTTCTTCAAAGTAGTCTCATTGGTAATAATTGGTATAAATCAAGTTTTAGAATTAAGACAAGATAATTAATTGTTTAATAAATCTAAAATTTGTTTTACTTTAAATTTAAATGATAGATAGAAGATAGAGTAAAAAATAAAGAAATGATTTGGTGATATAATCATTAGAAATTATTTTATAATTTTAAATACAGAACTTGTATTCTATTACGTTGTTGTATTACATGAAGTCTACTTGAGAATGTACTAGACACTGGCTATAGAAGGAAAAATAGAACTTGCAATAAGATGATCTTAACAACTCTAATAGAATCCAAAATAGACTTTAATTAAATTATAAAAATACTAATTAATCTTTAATTAAATCCAAAAGAAGTCTTAAGAACTTACAAAAGAAACATAAAGAAATCATAAATTAATCTTAATGAAATATATAATAAAGAAATTTTTAAAAAATATCAAAAATAAAAATATTAATCAAATCCTAATGTAACCTTCAAAAATCTTAATGAAATTCTAATCCCTAAATAAATCCTAATCTAAAAAAATTTTAATCAAATCCTAGAAAAATCTTAATTAAATCTTAGACAAATTCTAAGAAAATCCTAAACTCTAATCTTACACCAAATTCCAATAAAATCTTAAATCCTAAATCCTAACTAAATCCTATCAAATTCTAAACAAATTCTAATAAAATCGTAAGCAAATCTTAATCAAATCCTAATTAAACCTTAATCAAATCTTAGTCAAATTCTAATCAAATCCTAATCAAATTTAGACAAAATTCTAAACCTTAACAAAATCGAAGAAAAATTTTAAATCCTTACCAAATTCTAGATCCTAAATTAATCCTAATCAATCCATAATCAAATCCTAAATCTTAAATAAAAATCTTAATAATATTATAATAGATTAAAAATTCAATAACTTATGATTAAATTATTGATTCTAACTCAAACTTTGCATATCTTGAAACAACTAAGTAAGTAAGAAGCAAAAGAAAAAAAAAATTGAAGAAGATCACACATATTGATAGCAAGAAAAGCTCCTCAAATCTCTCAGTTATTGGCCAACTTCCTTCTTTGACTTGAACATTGATCTTTCAATATAGGTTTTTCTTTGCTGAACCATTAAATTTCTCCATAATTTAAGTTGTATATAGATATTTTAATCTAAATTTGAAACATGACTAGATTTTTTAAGGTTTAAAACCTTACTAATTTCATAATAACAAAGATCTTGACACAATATAAGATCAAACACACCAGAACAAAATTAAAAGTAACTAAATGGAATAAAACATGAAAAACACGACTGAGTAAAAGAAAATAGAACCAAACATAATCAAACAAAATAGAACAAGAAAAAAAAACCAAACTTTACTAAGAAAAAGAATCTAAAGCTATACTTGATCAAATGATCAAACGGCCTCAGCTAATCTTATTTATATTTTTTTCAACTATCCTTAGAACTTTTTAAAATGTCTCTAATGATGGACCTTATTAAGATAACCACCTTTTTAGAAGACTTTAGAAGTGGGCTCTTCTATGACAATTGTCCTAAGTCTTTTAGAAGATTCTATGGTAGATCCCACATAAACTACCATCCTAACTTCAATTCCAAAAACTCCCCAAAAACGACTCCAACTATATACTTCTATATGCGAATAATACAAATATCCTATCCATACCCTATTATAACTAATCGTTGTCTACTAATGTGGTATTGTGTTGTGGTTTGGTTACCATGTGAAAATATTATGTTAATATGTTTGATATATAATTTACTAAGTAACATGATAAGAGCCATGTTAATGGATTTTAATTGGTTGTAAAATAAAGTTAGATTACTATCCTAAAAAGATTTTATTTATAAGGACTATTATTAGAATTTATATAACTTTATTTTATTTTGATTAAGACTTTTGAAGTTGATCTTATTAGTAGTAACTTTTAAACATTTAGAGTCACCCTTGTTAGTCATTAGTGATCCCTAAAGTCTTATTTTGGTTCTTTTATTTGGTATTTAGGACATATATTATATAAATCTTATTAGAAAAAGAATTGGAGAGGGGTCTTGGAAGCAAAAGAGAAGTTAGAGCATCCATATGGATGAATGGGGATGGATGATAAAAATCTCCATTCTTATTGGCCAAAAATCATGCTCAATGGACTTCAAGGAGGTTGTTCAAGGCCTTATTAGGAATTAGGGTTATTCTTGTATAGCCACTCGAGCTTTGGAGGCTATGATCAGCAAGTTTAGAATTTTGGCTATGATTTTGGTGAAAATTTTATGTGATTTGGAGTTTATATGATAGAGATATAGATGATCAAAGTTAAGGTATTGATTTTGTATCTACTATCACTCTATTAGACATAACATGTCCGTACAGAAAGTAATAAAGGATTGGCGACTAGGTTGGAGGGAGCACTTTCTTGGCTACACTTTTGGCATATTTTTTGATGGATTTCAAGTTGGAATAAAGGAGATATTAGAGATTGAAGTCAATACTTGCAAATCTAAGGGTATTAAGTCACCTGATTCACTAGTGATTGTATTTTGAGCTATATCTTGAATAATTTGATGAGATTTTGGCTCAAAATTTCCAAAAATGTATATAATCAGGTTAATAAACTTTGTGCATAAATATTGTGGTATTTGAGTTATAGATTTTTGAAATATGAAGAAAATAGTACTCAAGTACTTGTAACTTAGGATTAAGAGCACCTACTAGGATTTCTAAGATATAAGATTGGTAGAAATTTTATGGTTTATTTTAGTAAAACTTAAGGATAATAGCTATGTTATATAAAAATTTGAGAGAAATTGAACCATTGGATCAAAAGATATGAATTTCTAAAGTTTAGAAAAAAAAATCCTTTGGTAGAAAAATATATTTTGAAAGGTTTTTCTACAATTTGAATATTTTATATAAAGTGAAGAGGTTTTGGGAGCCAAGACTTTGTATATAAATTAAAGGTGGAATAAATTACTTATTAGAGCTTAGAAAATAAGTTAAAACTAAACTCTCTATAGCTAGATATCTCTTATATTTTCATATTACAAATCATGCTATACGATAGTAGAATATCCTTGTTTTGCTCCCGATATTATTTTCAAATGATTTCTTGAAAATAAATGAGATTTTGTGCATGTTCTCATATTGCATCATGGATGGGATAACCTTTCTAGAGAAATTTGTACTGAAATTGTAAATGTCTAATGCCACGACAAAGGTAGTGATGCTCTAAAATTTTGTCCACTTCATACTCATAAAATAAAAGTTGGACAAATAAAATATATTATCTAATGTAAGTTGCTAATGGTTAAAAGGCAACAAAAGATAATAGGAAAGTTATGAAGGTGGCAGCTAGGATTTATAATGGCAGCTAGGTTAAGTGGAATATAGGATTCAGTTGGATAAAGTAAGGATGAATGAGAATAAAGTTGAGCCATAATGGATGTAAATTCTACCTATAAGTAAAGGGTGTTGGAAGTGAGAGGTATCTCATTCCACACTTTTCTTGTATCTAACCTTACTAAGTTCTACTTACTTGTGTCTTGCTTATTGTGTTTTTTTAATATTGTGACTTTGTATATAAATTAAAGGTGGAATAAATCACTTATTGGAGCTTAGCCAATAAGTTAAAACTAAATTCTCTAGAGCTAGATATCTCTTATATTTCCATATTACAAATCATACTATATGATAATTGAATGTCCTTGTTTTGCTTCTGATGATATTTTCAAATGATTTCTTGAAAATGAATGAAATTTTTTGCATGTTTCCATGTTGCATCATGGATGGGATAATCTTTCTAGAGAACTTTGTACTGTAATTACAGACATTTAATGCCATGATACAGGTAGTGATGCTCAAAAATTTTGTCCACTTCATACTCATATTGGTCATCAATCACAACTAATAGTGGTGGTAGTCGTAGTGGTGGTAGTTCGTGTCAATCCAAAAAGTGTCTTAGTTCAATATGAAATTCTTTAAATTATAAAATATAGAAGATTGGATGGACTTAAATATGTGACAGAAGCCTAAAGCAATGTTATGTTGTAGTTTGGCTACTATGTGAAAATAATGCACATAATTATTTAATAAAATATTTATTATATAATATAGTAAGAGCCAAATTATTAG